GATCTCTTTTGTGGACTTGTGTGATTCTTCCTGTTCTGGGATGCCGATAAGTCTTATGTTATACCTCTTCATGCTATTCAACATGATTCTTAAACTTTCTTCAGATTTTTAAAATCTTTTTTTCTGTTTGTTCTTCTGTCTTAGTGGTATTGAGAGAGATTTATCTTCCAGCTCATTAGTTCTGGCTTCCATCTCTTCAGTTCTACTCCTTTGCCCTTTCTGTGTATTGTCCATTTCTGATATTCTATTATTAATCGTTTGGATCTCTTTCTGTAGCTTTTGAGTTGTTTCCAATGCTGTGTCTATCTTATTTGATTGTTTCTGTAGTGCTTTCCTGACTTATTTTTCTCAACTCCATTGTATAGTGTTTTGATACATTTTATAATCATTTTTCTGAATTCCTTCTCAGGCATTTCCAAAGCCTGCTTTCCTTCCAGTATGGCATGTAGGTCTACCTCCAGCTCATTTGTCTTAGTCAATTTATCTTGTTTTTGGACATGTGCTGATATGATCATCGATTTCTGTTTTTTGGGCATATTCGGTGGTTAGCTGTGGCCTTAAAACTTAGATGGGTGTTTGTTTTGGTGTTTTTTATGTTTTCTGATTGCCTCCAGGTAGATGTGATCAGGAGATGGACTTCCCTTTTCACTCTTCTTCCTGAAAAATTTAAAGATGCCATTGCTGGTCGTTATGACGTAACTCAGGATTTAATTTTTATTCAGTTTCCTTTTTAGTCTGCCTGTCCTGTTCCAAAACCCCTGTTCAGGCCTTTTATCTAGTTAGGGCCAGCTGTGGCTGTTTTGCGTTGCCGTTTGGTTTTAAGTGGAAACTGTCCCTTTAAATTTTGAGGAGATCTGCTTGCATGCGTAATAGGGTACTATTATACCTATTACTATAGTACCCTATTATGCATGCATGCAGTGTAAGTACACGCAGAGTGAGGTAGGGTATCCACTTGCTCAGGCACCCCGTCTAGTCACCAGAATGAAGGCCAATAAACAGATACAAAAAAAATAATGTCCACACCTTTATCTCCACGGTTCTGTTAGGCCGCCGTGGCTGCTCTGATCTTTCTCTGGTTTGATTTCACCCAAGATGGCTTTTCAGGGAGCAGCTGAGCACCTTGGATTAGAAAGCACTGGATTTCTTGCTTCTGTTACAAATTCCACTGGCTGTAAGCCTTCCAACTT